GGTCCTTGCCTTCTAGGAGTGTATAATCTATTAAAGGAAATGATACACAATTATTTACAATTCAAGGCAGTATTTGTTAGTTACATACAATCAGTATACTAAAGTTGTTTACAATACAGAGGTGAGTCGCTTCTGGTTGAAATTATCAGGAGATGTTTTAGAGGAGAAGGCATTTTAGATGAGCCTCCAAAGATGGGCATAATTTTAAAAATCGAAATCTGTGAGATATCCTGAAAGAAACACCATCCCTGGGTGCTGAACCAGTCCAAATTGTTAGGGCAACAGAGAAGTACACAGTTAATTTTTAAATAGTGTTGTTGAGATGTAATTGTCATAAAATGAAGTGCACATATTTAAAACATACAGTGTTGATAAAATTTGACATATGCTTGAAAGCATCACTACAATCAAAATAATGAACAAATCTATCACCCAAAAGTTTTCTCATGCCACTTTGAAATCCTTCCCACCCATACCCAGACCCTCCCAATTTCCAGGCAACCACCAATCTGTGTTCTGTCAGTGTAGATTTGCTTGCATTTTCTAGAATTTTATATACACGCAATGGTAAGGTGTGGATGTTTTATGTCTGCCTTACTACACTCAGCATAATGATTTTGAGATAATTCATTCCTTTTCATTGCCAAATAATATTCTATTCATTAATTTATAGTTGTTCATACATTCCCCCATTGATGGACATTTGGGCTGTTTCCAGTTTTTGGTTATTGCAAGTAAAACTGCTATGAACATTGATGTACACATATTGAAATGGGTAAACACTTTCTTTTCTCTTGTATAAACACATTGAGTGGAACATATAGTACAACATATACGTAGGTATATGTCTTTCATTCATGGTCTCACTGTAGTCGGGACAGCCAATATAATAGCACTTTAATTATTATATCTGATATATGTGTCTGCTTCTCCCACGTTGACCATAGATTACTTGACTGCAGGAACTCTCTATCATTCTCATCTTTATATGCCACAGAACAAGCATATTCTAGACACTCAGTAAATATGTGTTAAATTGAACATAAGAAACTTCTTTCTTTTTAAAGAAATTGTCAAACTGTTTTCCTAAGTGGTTCTAACATTTTATATTCTTACCAAAAATGTATGAGAATTCCAGTTTCTCCATATCCTTGCCAACACGATATGTTCAGACTTTCAGATTTTTAGATATTTTTACAGGTAGATAGTTGTAACTCATTGTGATTTTAATTCGCATTTTTCTAATGACTAATGATGTTGAACATATTTTCTTATGCTTATTTGCCATTAGTATACCCTCTGAACTATCTGTTCAAGTCTTTTGCTCATCTTTTTATAGGATTGTTTTCTTACTGTTACATTTAGAGAGTTTTTTAATATATTTTGGACATGTCTATTGTTGGATGTGTGACTTGCAGATATTTATTCTTCTTTCACATTACTGGGTTCAGTTTGCTAATATTTTGTGTGGATTTTTGCATCATCTGTGTTAATGAGGGAAACTGGTCTATTGTTTTCTTTCTTTCTTTCTTTTTTTTTTCATTGTCTTTGTCTGGTTCAGGTGCCAAGGTAATGCTGACCTCATAAGATGAGCTGTGAAGTGTTTCTTCTTCTAGTTTCTGGAAGATATTATGCAGCATTAGATGTTTGATAGACTTTTCAGTGAAGCTATCTGAGTCTGGATATTTCTAATACAATTGATTTTTGTATATTAACCTTGTATCCTACAACTTTGATAAACTAGCTTATTAGTTCTAGTAGCTTTTTTGAACATTTTCTATTGTTATGCCTTCAAGTTCAAAAACAATACATAAGTCTTTTCTTATGCAATATCTACTCTGTAGTTTAACACATTTAGTGCATATTTTTAATCTCAGACATTGTAGTTTTCATCTCTAGATATTAAATTTGGATCTTTTTTTAAATATCTTCCAGGTCTCCACTTGGCATGTCTCTCCTCTGGCTTCTTAAGTATATGGAATACAGTAATAATTATTCTTTTTTTTTTTTTTTTTTTTGAGACAGAGTCTCACTGTGTTGTCCAGGCTAGAGTGCCGTGGCGTCATCTTAGCTCACAGCAACCTCAAACTCCCGGGCTCAAGCGATCCTCCTGCCTCAGCCTCCCCAGTAGCTGGGGCTACAGGCATGCGCCACCATGCCCGGCTAATTTTTTCCTATATATTTTTAGTTGTCTGATTAATTTCTTTCTATTTTTAGTAGGGATGGGGTCTTGCTCTTGCTCAGGCTGGTTTTGAACTCCTGAGCTCAAACAATCCACCCGCCTCGGCCTCCCAGAGAGCTAGGATTACAGGCGTGAGCCACCGCGCCTGGCCATTATAATTATTCTTTTAATGTTCCTTTCTACTAATTCTATCATATGTGTCAATTCTGGATCAGTTTTAAGTTTTGATTGATTGTTCTTTACGTATGATTCACGGTTTCTTGCTTCTTTGCACACGTGGCAATATTCGATAGGTGGCACAAATTGCAAATTTTACCTTATTTGGTATTGAATGTTTTCATATTCCTATACATTTTTTTTTTCCTACAGATATTTTTGAGCTTTGTTCTGGGACATGATTAAGTTATTCAGAAACAGTTTCACTCTTTCAGATCTTGCTTTTGAGGTTTTTCAGGCAGGACTAGTGCAACATTTAATTAAGAGCTAATATTGCCCCAGTTCTGAGTACTCTGTGTGATGCTTTGTGAGTTATAAGGTTTTGTACTCTGGCTGATGGAAAAAGGAACTTTTCTTGATCCTCTATGAGTTCCAAGAATCATTCCTTCTATTCCTTTTTGGGGCTGTCTTTCCTTGGCTTCAGGTAGTTTTCTCCCATACATTCACTTATCAGATTCCAGGGGGACTCTGCAAATCTCTAGAATTCTCTCGCTTTGCAGTTCTATCCTCTCCTGCAACTGGCATTGTAAACTCTTAACGCTTTGGTCTCGCTGAGCTCCCAGTTTAGGGAGATGACTAAGCTGTACCTGGGTTCCCCTTTATTGCATTGCATCTTGAAAATTTTCTCTAGGCAGTAAGCTGGGGCAATTGTAGTACTCAGGTCATTTATTAATATTTCCTGCCACTCAGGGCTCATTGTCCCTCCTTGCCTGATGACTAATGTCTCAAAAGCCTTTGTTTTATATATGTTTTCCCCAGATTTTAGTTGTTTCAGGCAGGATGTTAAATCTGGTGCTGTTTATTCCTTTTTTGGAACCTGAAGTCCTCACAGTTAATTTCTGAAGACTAACACTGTAGTATTTTTTGTAATTGTTGATCCAGTTTCTAACAGTTAAAGTGTATTGATAAACGTGTTCAGAGAGTATGATTTTAATCCAAAATATAAACTTTAAATTTTAAGTTTAAATATAAACAAATTAGCTCACGCACTGTTTCCAGAGATACTTCTTCCTTCAACAAATATTTGAGCACCTACTATGCAGTGGACACACTTCTAGTTGCCAAGGATTACAATGTGGATGAGACAAAATCCCTGCCCTGGTGGAGTTTACAGCCTAGTGAGAATGTTTTAAAAAGCCTGGCACAGTGGCTCACCTGCCTGTGACTTGGAGGCTGAGGTGGGAGGATGACTGGAGCCCAGGAGCTTCAGGCTGCAGAGAGCAATGTACTCCAGCCTGGGTGACGAAGCCAGACCCCATCTCTAAAAAAAAAAAAAAAGAAAGAAAGAAAGAAAGAAAGGAAGAAAAGCAAGTGATGTAAAAATTCTAAGGAACAATAATAAATCAAGATATACTTTCAGCTTGAAACATGTCAACAAGTTAGTAGCCCTGAGTCACAAACAATTCTGTAGCATCTGTGGGCAACTTTTATTCAATTCAGATATAAACTGATTTGGAAGCAGGCATCCCTGACCACCAGCTCACATCTGACCACCTAACGCAATGTCTGATTTACAGTAGGTGCTTAATACATATTTGAATTAAAATTTTCAGCCTACTCATCCCAGGGGTCCTTGTTTTGCTTCTTTCAGGGCATAACGGATAAGGAACAGCTAGCCAGCACCACCGGGATAAAAAGAGGTAAGTGCAACATACGTCCGGGAAGATGGAGATGTTAACACACAGCTGGCTTCTAGTCCTCCATTGTCCATCCTCTCAGATTTACTACTGGCAGGTGACAGCAGACACTTCCTAACTTTGGTTTGGTTCCTGACATTTTTTAACATGATTGACCAACGTCCCTTGCCGTGATTTCCCCAGGTGAGGGCAGAGAGGAGAGAAAGAAGAGGGGATTCTGTAGCTTTTAAACTTTACGTGTGTGTGTGTGTGTGTGTGTGTGTGTGTGTGTGTGTGTGTGAGTGAGAGAGAGAGAGAGAGAGAGAGAGAGAATCTCCATCCAATGAATAGAATATGTGGAAATATGTGGAAAACGTGACTATGCAAAGGATATTTGGAAAGTTTTCAAATATGTGAAATACGGATGTGCTGGGGGTGGTCGGGGCCCCTCCCGTAGGTGTCCCTCTCCCGGCCCGCGTTCACCCACCACTCGGGGCACCGACGGGGGCGCCCGCAGGTCACCGCAGCCGTGAGGGAGCCGCGTGTGGGCGGCGGCGTGGGCCGGGGCTGGCTGGCCGCCTTCCGTACGTTCCCAGAGGCCTCCGCACGCGGCGTCCAGGCGGTCTCGGGGCCGGGGCGGCGGGCAGCGGGCGGAGGGTCCCGGGCGGCCCGTGAGCGCTCTGTGAGGCGCGGGCGGGGCCCGACGGGCGGGGCCGGGCGGGGGCGCGGCCCGGCGGCCACGTGACGCGCGGCGCGGCTATTAAGCGGCGCGCGGCAGCCGCTCGCAGCCCGAGCTGGTGCTTCGCCCCAGACCCAGCGCCCAGGCGTGCCGCCCCGAGAGCAGCCGCGCGAAGGCCTCCCGCGCCCGCCAGCCGCCAGCCCCGCGCCTCCGTCGGTCCGCCCGCCAGTCTGCCCGCCAGTCCGCCCGCCAGTCCGCCCGTCTCCCGAGCCCCGCGCGCCCCGCCGCAGCCCCGCCAGCGAGCGCCATGAACCAGATAGAGCCCGGCGTGCAGTACAACTATGTGTATGACGAGGATGAGTACATGATCCAGGAGGAGGAGTGGGACCGCGACCTGCTCCTGGACCCGGCCTGGGAGAAGCAGCAGAGGAAGGTCAGCCGGGGCCCGTGCCGCCGTCGCGGGCCGGCCCGCGCGTGTGTGTCCCTGCGCCCCCGAGGGGCCCTCGGTGGAGGTGGTGTGTGGTCCTGCGTGCCGGCAGCCCTGGGGCCCCGTTAGGACGAGCACGTCCAGGGACGGGCAGGACTCTAGGCGTCGTGTGCGTGCGCGCGCGTGTGTGTGGGTAACATAAGAGTTACAAACCGAAAAATGTTCAGGGAAGAACAGTACTGTGTAAGTGAGTTTTTGTTTCTCATACCAACCTTCATGAGACCAGAATCTGAAAGAGTCTCTGGTCTGCTCCTCACCTCTTGCGTCTGTGACCTTGGCCGCAGAGGTATACCTTCCCCTCCCCGTTGTGTCCACTTCCCCCCTCTCCTCTCTCTTCCCAAATAAAACAGGTCTAATAAGCGTCAGCTTGATTCCAGTTTTCACAGGGATGCCCCCCAGAGTCACTGAAAGTCATTTATTGAATGTTTTGGGTTCCTGAGAGAGGGATGTTGTATGAACACTAGACATTTACGGCTAAAGTAATAATTATTTCACGTTCTATTTATAGTTCATTGAGGTAAGCACACGGGACGAGGACTAAAGAGTCAGCCAGTTTCTGAAAGCTCCCTCCCCATTTTGGTTGGCACTCTCTGAGGGCCCAATGGAACATTCCACTATTTCAAGGTTTCTTCTTGATCCTCTTGGCTAGAATAAACAGGGGATGCTCACCCCGAGGCCAAATCTCTGGTCTTATTTGACTGCGCACAGATCCTGGTTGGGCCAGGCGTGACAACAGAGACCTGCTAACCCAACCTTATGATAACAGGGTCATGGCAAAAGCCTGGCACTCTGTGCTTTTTTTATCGGTGGATTTCCCTTCTAAGGGCCTGTTTTTAAGTGGATAACCCGTTTTTACCATAAGTGTGCATGAGAATTTCTGGGTAATTGCCACTGCAGGTGACTGTATGCTAGAATATGGTGAGTAAGTGTATGATGGTGGAAGACACCCATCCCATGCTTCTCTCCCTACAAAATGTTAGCTGGAAAGAGAGAGGTCTCATGGTTGGATAATTATCAAATAACCAAGCACTATTTTTATATCAGGATGTTTCTTGTCTACCCTCATTCTTAAAATACCATTTACTATTATTATTTTAAAGCTCTAGTTTAGCTACATTTCAATCTCTGCCTTAGTTTCCTGAGGCTTCTACCATACCTACCTTTCTTGGAAACAAGAGAACGGAGGTGATAAATAGAAGTTGAATCTATAAAGGAAAACAAAATTTCAAACCTTCTGCAATTTTTGAAAGGACTTACTGTGAAGGAAGCACAAGGCTTGATTACTAATGTATCATTGGACCAGTAGATGCATCATCACTCACAAGAAGTTAAAAAGTGACTTTAATTTTTAGCAGTGAGGGATTTTTAAAAAAATTTTCCCCAAATTTTGATTACTACATTTTTATGGATTAAAAAAAAAAAAACCCAAAACTCCCAGATCTTTGTTTTAAAGATTGCTTTTTTTCTTATGAGGAATAATAAAATAGCTAAGGAATTGGACAGGTAGTCTGCCCATCATTTTTGAGAGTAATAGTCTAATCACAGTGGTTTCTGTTGATTTTTAAAAAGTACAATACAATAGCAGGATAGAACTATTGTCAATTTCCAGAGGCCACATTGACATGTCTTCTGCCATATTTAATCTTTTAATGTATTTGCAATATTTTTGGATAATGACATTGTAATTTTTTTAGGTTTGGGATTTCTATGCTGACTACATTATTATAATTGTATAGCATTTGAAGTATATTATTTAAAAAGGGCATATTTCTTGATCCCAGTTCAAAATAATGCTAAAAAGTTTAAAGTGAGAATTTGGCGGTTTTTCTTTTCTTAAGATAGTTTGAATGTTGTCAATGCAAGGGGAAAAAAGCCCAAAAGTACATTAGGACACAGCTGAACAGATCTAGAAGATTCTCTATTTCTACTTTTGGTATAGAACCTGCTCAAGTCAGTAAAATAATATTGAACCGTGAGCTCAGGGCAGCCAGAGCAGTGGCCTCTATTTATGTCCTATGAGACAAACTGTTGGAACAGGACAAGGATAAATGCCATTGTTTCTATTGTGGGCTACCTTCTCCACACTTGCCGTTTCAGTGATATGCCGGGTATGAGATCTGTCAACAGATGCTGGTAGCACATGATGACGTCTGTAGCATTATAATGGATGTGGTGCCTAATTATATCTACAGTTCAGAGAGTCTCATGGACTATGGTAATCCTTGCTTTCTGGTGTGGAATGACCACGCTACAGAAGGACTTTGTAAGAGTGTAGTGCTTTTTATAAGAGGAGGTGATCGAGAAGGTAGTCAATTTAGCATGAGTATGAATAGGCATTTCAAAGTGCTAAGAGTACTTCTATTTTCTATAAAGAAGATTGTATTTTACTTCATACAGCCTATGGGTAGAAGAAAAACTCCTGCAGTGTTACTGTATTTTAAAAGGCTGAAATAATGAGGCTCACTTTGGAGGTAGAGAGACTGTTTTACCATATAGGACACAGCTTAGGGATATCAATTTCCAAGTAACTTGGGTTCCCTTCAGTGGACTGTTGAAACTTCCAGAGCATCGGTGCTAGAAACAGGCTTCTCCTGGAACCAAGGAACACACTGAGCCTTTACCTCAACCGAAGCCTAATTTGGAGGTGACTTGTCAGAACAGCAATGCTGAATATGTGTGCTATCTCCGCAAGCACAGGGCGCTGTCCTCAACCACGCCGGGAGGCTAGACCAGGCCTTTTAAGGAAATGAAATACACCTTTCAATACATAAAGGGTCCTTACATCCATAATCTGTATATGGCTAGATGATTGATAAACTCTTCTAAGAGTTCTGATTGGTTTTAATAGTCCCTAAAGAAATTCAAATTATCTTGCACTCTTCACGGTTTAGATGGCCTGGTTCACCTTGGAGAACCTCCTTTTCATCTGGCATTTAGGCTGCTGGGTGGCCACGTCAGGGCAGCCAGCATGGAAGGATGCATGTGTGGGGGCAGCTGCCCACAGGGTCTGGGTTAAGTAGAGAGCCTGGGAGCCTTCAAGTTGTCCTGCTAGTGTTCTGTGGGAAACAGCTGCTGATTAAGGGCACAAGGTGAAGGCTTTTCCTGCCTAATGAGACATACTCTTGAGTGAATATTTCCGGAGAGAAAAAGCACTAATTGTTCCATCAAGATGAACAATTAAGAATAAGCTCATGAAATTTCTCGGGTTCGTGAGACCCAGGTGAATCTCAGCTCTGCCTGGTATTCTCTGTTCGACTGCAGTGGACTCACTGGAACTTTCAAGTCTCAATTTCTTCCTCTAGAAAATGAAGATCAATGGCCATCTTCCTAACTTCACAGGGTTTTGTTTGGATCAAATAGTTAAGCTGATTTATGGTGAAGAGGCTTTATACATTGTAAAATGATCTGTAAATGTTCTTTGTGCAGAAAGTATCTGATGATTTTATTGGGTGGTCTAATAGTAATCACCATGCTGGACTTGTGAGGGTTGATGGAGCATGAGATTTGGTCCTTAGTGACTTTGATGTACTTTTTTTCATTGCGGTAAAATACACAGTAACATAAAATTTACCATTTTAACCATTTTTTAAGGGTAAAATTCAATGATATTACTTATTTTCACATTATTACATAACCATCACTACTATTCATCTCCAGAACCTTTCCGTCATCCCTCACTGAAACTCTGTACCCATTAAACACTAGCTTCCTATTCCCCCTTCCCCTGATGTACTTTTAAAGATAGGATTTACACACTGGAACACTTAGAACATAAGAAATTGTTGAATAATAAGTGCCAGATGCTTATATAAAGAGTAAAAATTGGGCTGTGCATGGTGGCTCATGCCTGTAATCCTAGCACTTTGGGAGGCCGAGGCACGAGGATCACTTGAGGCCATGAGTTCAAGACAAGCCTGAGCAACATAGCAAAAATACATCTCTATAACATAGCGAAAACCATCCTTACAAAAAATTAAGAAATTAGCGGGGTGTAGTGGCATGCGCCTATAGTCCCAGCTACTCTGGAGGCTGAGGCAGGAAGATTGCTTGAGCCTAGAAGCTGGAGGTTGTAGTGAGCTACGATGACACCACTGCACTCCAATCTGGGCGACAGAGTGAGACCCTGTCTCAAAAAAAAAAAAAAAAAGAATAAAAATTGTAGAAGGCCAAATAAGGAAAATCATTGTGGGTGAAAAATAATGAGGAAAGCACTTATAAGGGAGTAGAACTTGAGATTTAATTTGAGTAATAACTGAATATGAGCTGAGTAGAGAGGAGAGGGAAGCAGAGCATTCCTGGCTAGAGAAATATTATGAAAAACCTGTTGTGCGGGTTTTTGGCTGGGGGCGGGGGAGTGATAGGTGTAATACAGGAAGTGTTTACCTACCCTTTTGGCACCATGGAAGCATCTTTACATCTAGTATTTCACAGGATCCAGAGGTGGGGGAACAAGTTCAGAGGAAAGAGTGTAGAAGGAGAAAGTATCCAAAGTGGCCAGACCGGGATTCAGGTTTCCCGAAGCCTAGCTCTGTATTCTTGGATGTGTCTACAGCTTGAGGATGGGTAAAGAGGAGATAGGTTTACTGAAGCCAAAGATGCCTATTTAAATTTAGAGACAATGTGGGATTGATAAAACAGGGCCTGGTTATAGAGGGTCTCGGATACCAGGATGAGAGTGGGCTTTATTCTCCAAACTGCACAGAGCTTCTGAGGTTTTCTGAGCTGGGAAAAGCCATGTTTAAAGGACTAGTATTGTTTACAGGATAAATCTGAGTAGGCAGGGGCCTGAGGCTGAGGGACTCAGGCAAAAGCCCATTATGGAACTATACAGATAAAGCGGTGAGGATTAGAACAAGGGCGAGGAAGGCATCAATTTGAGAGTAATCTGGAGGGATTATAAAAAGTATTAAATAACCACATGTTGTTCCACGGTAGGCTGTTGTATA